ACAAAAACATAAAACAGTGAAATCATTAGAAGAATGTAAGAATATAAGCACGTTGCTTCTAATTAATTCAAATTATTGATAGAAAATATCAATTTCGGTTTGACCCACTTTTCTTGCAACTGATTCATAAACATTTTATTTTGCATAAAGATCTGCAATCTATTAATAACTTTCGCGAAACATTGTACTGTGCACAATTGGAGATAGGACGTAATCTGAGAGAATAAGCTTAAGTAATCCTTTGTTTATGTTCCCTCGCGTATTTATATCTTAGCAGAGTTTCAGTTTAGTTTGAAGATTAATATCGTCGAACGCAGAGAAAATGATATCTTAGTTCAACTTCATTCAATATTTTTAAACAAAAATTTGTTAATTTATGATTATTCAGATTGTAAAACATACGTTCATGAATGAATAATTCAATAAATTTGTTAAGGTGATATTAATTAATAAGACTCGTGAAAAATTAGAATAAATATATTTTTGTCGAACCTAGTGTTAATGATACTAATATTTTTAAATTCTGGTTGACGCATTTATTATGAATCTGCTGTAACCTACGCAATGTCATATAAGTCAAAGGGATAATATCTTCGCGTAACACGAACAGCGGACAAGACATGTCATTTTGATAAAGACAAGTGACCGAAACTTATCCCTGTGTATCCTCGGAAGACATCGGTCCAGATCTGCACAGTACATGCTTCGGTGTAATGTTAATTAATGATCACTATTCCAGCACACCGACGAATGCGCACTGTTACCAATTATTTCCTCGTCAATCTCTCTGTGGCTGATTTGATGATGTCTTTGCTGAACTGCGCCTTCAACTTCACCTTCCTGCTGAACGCCAACTGGCCATTCGGCGTTGTGTACTGCACAATTAATAATTTTGTTGCCCACTTGACCGTCGCCTCGAGCGTATTTACGCTGGTCGTTATCTCCTTTGACAGGTAAGCACTACTCATTCATAAAAATGCATAATCAATCGATTTCTCATATTTCTGAAACTGATAAAATTTCTCCTCCAGCGTGGTTTCGCTGGTTATCGTATACTTTGATAGCTGAACATTATTGCCTTGTAAAAATACAAACGAATCGATTTTTTATATTTTTGAAATCGACACTGTGGAACAATTGTGTGAACTAATTGGAAATATCGACATCTGGAAATATCGACGTAATTGATTTCAAAGTAATTTCTTTCTTTCTTTTTAAGGACTAGAGTTTTATCAACGGCTGGGTCATTAGCGATCCAATTCAGTAAGAACTGTTTCTATTGTGATGATGATTATTAGGATCGTATCAATTAAACAATCAAAGTTACATATAAATACACTACAAACAAGTAGTGTATTTGATGTGCCGTTTGATGTTGCATCGATTAAACTCTTAATGGTTTTCGAATATGCATTCCAAATGCAATAAATGAATTCATTGAATTGAGAATTTGTTGAATTTATTGAATTTATTGAAGAATTTACTGGATTTCTTTAAAAGATATTGAATTCATGGCGTTTATTAAATTCATTACATTTATTAATGTAATTTGTGATGAACAAATGTCACACGTTCTATGGTAAAACAAGTTTTCCACTCGTCTCTTTTTTTGATTATGAAGTTATTTGAATTTTATCTATTTCAAATGCGAATTCGGAGGGTAATATATACAAATTTAATTTTAAATGCTAAATAGTCGAATTTAACTCTGAACATGACTAGCTGTTACATTTAAGTTGAATTTGCATTGAGTTAATTTTAATTTATTCAGTTTCTCCAAAACAGTTATATGACGTAGTAGCATTGCCGCTATGAAAACGGACAAGTTGAGTATGAATCATTTATTGATAAAGTAACATTAATATGTATAATTACTTATATGCAATGTATAACTAAAATAATAACAAGAAGATAATATTAATAACTAAATTGCGGATCTTCATGCAAAATAAAAATTGTCTACATTAATTACAAACTACAGAAGCTACACAGATATTTATTCCATATTTATTATCTTCACCGTTTTATACGTCAAACTCGTTTTTGTTACAAATGCGTCAAATTCACAGTCTATTAATAACTAATCAATATTGCTTGTTTACTGTTAATTATTTAAAAATAACTCAATAATGATACAATTGTTTATGATTCAGTTATTCATGATCTAAAATGAATAAAATTATTGGTAAAAGAAATGATTGTTTGCACTTTGACATTTAAAATATCTTTTGCACAATTAAATTTTCCAAGCATATGCAGTTAACTTTTTGTTCGACAACAAAATGATTAGAGAGGAAACACGATAAATGAGACGCATTCTCTTAAATGACCCATTTAACGGTAACAATGAACGTCTGGTGCATACGTTTGTAAAAATAAATTGCAAGAACAATTCATCCAAGAAGCATAGTGTCACAGGCAGGAAACTGATTACTTGTCATTTCCATACTATGCTCTAGTTTCAATGGTCTTCTTCAAGGGGACGCTTCTAACTTTGTGAAATGTGTATTCAAAACAATTGAAAGGTTAGCAGAAATAAGTATCTAATGAATACTGACAATTTCTTTTTTCTCTTTTTTGTATAGGACAAAATGGTATTTTGTATCGTTATTAAATGTTACGCTTAAAGCATATTTTTATTCTCATCTATTAATGTTACGATTAAACAATATTTATTATTATTATATTTTGGTATTATTCTTGAACCACAATTTCTATTGATAATATTTTTCTTTTGCCAATCGGAGAAAGGGGGCAACATTTGTCCTTATACCAGTTGCTCCCCCTCCCCCCTTTCCACCAAATATATTGCATACTCAACAATGTTCCCTCTTGCATCATTTAATTAAAAAATGATGAAGCCAAAAAAGCTTGTAATAGTTTATTTGTCGCACGCGGTGTATATATGTATTTGTCACGAGAAGCACTTTGGCTAAAGCCTTAAAGCACGTTCTCTGGATTTGTAATGTTTACATAGAGTGGATGTGTACATACACAGTATCATTATTTGGCGAGAGCTTTGCAATAATCCACCTACAAGGTATCAATTCAAAATCTCACAGTGTGGCTACTATACTGAATAAATAATGCCATTATCAATTCAGCTTTTTGACACATCTCCAGAGAGATTACGTACAAACGTTAATCAAACACAAATTGATGTTCCACGCTGACCATCGCAATACAGGTCACGCAGATTCAAACGTTTTACTGTGGCTGAATATAAATTCCTTTGAATAAACAAATACGAAAAGGAGGAAGATCAAGCTAGGTCTCCGTTTACATATTGAGTAGCATGGAGAAAAATTGTCTGGTAAACGTCGTGTAAAGACACGTTTACATCATAGTAAAAATATTGTGTTCAACGAACGTAAATTGCACGAATAGCAACTTAAAATATGAAACGTGTTTAATAAAAACACGTAATTAAGTAAACACGTAAGCGAAATGTTATTGTGCAGAGAAAAATTAAAATTTTTATCAAATCCATATTTTACTCGTAATCGTTTTCTGTTATAAACCATAAAGCTAAACGAAATTAAAACAAAATTACGCGACAAAACTGTGTAATTGTAAATAAAATCTGTTTAAAAAAACTGTGTCACTGTGAATAAAACATATTTAAAAAACTGTGTAATCGCGACTAAAGTATGCTAAAAACCGTCTAACAAAATGTGTTATAAACTAACGATCACATTTTCTTGCAAGTGTATTTTATTCGTAGCTCGAAAGTCAAATTTGAATTCGAACATGCATTTAGAATTTTTACCAAACAATTACATACCGAATAGCTGTTTCATTTTCTTATATTTTCGTGTGTCTACGCTGGAAAATGTAAAACGCACATTCTGCAGATGAACGAGAATACGACATCAGAAATCGTTGATGTCGAAAGATGACACAAGATTAGTGACGGACTTTGCGTTATCAAGCGAAGTGGTTCCGCGCAACCAAATGTCAATCGTTTTGGATTTCTTTTAGTCGAGGATGTACATGTGCAATATGCAGCGCGCGACATGCTTGAAGTGAACAGGATGTTTGAATTTCACAGAAGTGTGCTATTTTCGAAGAAACTGGTACATCGAATACTAGAATGAAATTTGGTTAAATTACGTTCCTCAAAGATATTCAAATTATCGTTTCTGCTGTCCGTTGCAGTCTAACGAGAGTTCATTTCGCCCAGCCACAATATATTAGTTGCACACTTCTATGTACAAGAACAGCTATGAGTCTGTCGCTTCTTATCGATTTTCTTTGTACCAGTTTTCAGTCTTCCACGCGGAATTTAATCAACAAGTTTTCAATCTGGCGACTGTCCTCAACGAGAGAGCACAGATTCTAATCTTCTGAAAATATTTCTCTAGCGAGAAATAGGCCGTGAATTTCAATTCAATTACGCAATGAACTTATAATATAATAGTAAACTTTAGTTTCAGACTTGGTTGTAGCTGCAATTTTAGCTGGAACTTTAAGTTTACTTGAGTAACAGGTTCATTGTCATATGCAACGTTAACGTATACGACCGTTTAAAACACATATAGTTTGCACAATTTATGCATCTGTGACTAAACAGAGTGAGTCCAATTTAAAACAGTATCCATAGCTTATTCTGAATGCATTAAAACTCTTACGGGGAGAAGAAAAGCTGTTCTTGGCTTCCACTTGTTGCAATTGAAGCAGAACATTTTTATTTGGAACAGAGATCCGCTTAAGTCTAATCTGTTAAATTGAGTTATCGCTGCAGGTGTAATCTTAAAGTAACTCGTTTAAAATTGCAAGAAATGCAGCCTCGTAAAACTATTATACTAAAAGGTGTCGTGTATTTTAATCGCATTAATTCTTAAAAGCTCCCATTAATGTGTCTCTGCTAACTTTTTCATTATATTCGCAGCAAAGCAAACCCGTTATTACGGTTTCCCTTCATTCGACGAATATTTCTAAAATACTGTGTTCAAAATCATTGCGCTTTTTAATATCGCAATAATATTTCCGTGTGCTTCTGTCTCTCATTATAATCATTGCAAGTTGTTGAATTAATTTATTCTTTTATTAACGAGAAACGATACACTCGTTACTTTGATTTATGCTTACAAATACTAACTCTGTTGTTTTCTGACCAGAGATACTTGAAGTGATAATAGCTGCACATTCCACCCTACCGTTCCAAGACCGCAATAATGGAAGTGGACAGCTATTACAACTTCGGGTATCTCCTTTCAATCTCCGATATCTTAAAACACAGTCTAACCGAGTATCTACCATTTGCAACAACGGATAATAATGGTACTTCCCCGCTCTACGAAATAATGTGCTGCGTCCTCGGAAAAAGTTGCGTCTTATTCTTACAATTAATACGACGACAGGAGATGTAATTTGTATTGTTAGGTATTCTGTCTTGGTTACATGAAACGTTAAGAGGCAGAATCTTGAGGGAAAGCTTCTAATTCCTTGAAATGAGTTTGAAACTAAATCCTTATTCGGTGACAAACAGATCATTTATAAACCGAGTGTATACACTTGCTTTGTCTACGATAATGATAAAATTGTTAATTAAATCAAAATAGAAATTAATATTCCTATTAAACCTAATAACTATTATTGTTAAAAGATCTTGTTAACTGTGTAATTGACTTTGCTGTTAACAAGTTCTGTTATCTGTGTGTACTTAATTCTACTATTAACAAGTTCTGTTAACTGTACAATTAATTCTACAGTTCACAAGTTTTGTTAACTATTATATATTCCACTATATATATTGACAAAAATATTTCCTAATTTCATATCTCGAAGAAGATTTTAAACTCGGCGTTTCTTATTCGTAGGCTACGAATGTTTTTATCTTCATACAAAAATTTGAAGAAAGGAAGATTAAATGAAATATTTTTTTAATTACCAGTTGTAGAAATTCGAAAAGAAATAAGAATGAATGAAAGTTTACTACACAAGATGTTTG